ATATATATATATATATATATATATATATATATATATATATATATATAAATATTCGTTTCAAATGATTTGTAATAAATTAAGCCATACTTGTTATAAACATTTTTTTAAACATTTTTTAATAATTCCATTTAGAACATTTAGAAAATTTTAGAAATATATGGTTAAATTTTATAAGCTTATCGTAATTTCGTGAAAATTTCGTGTTACCAAATATATTAGATAACTTATATATATAACTCGTTTTGTTAATCGTTTAATCCTTAATGTATTTATACATCAGGCTCATTTTCGCAGCGAGAGCGGACGTGGGAGATTCAATGTCCGACTCGTGATTATACGTTCATATTTTTCCTAAATCTGACCACATATAACTATATACCTAATTTATATACTATCTAATCACTTAAATTTTATTCTCAACCTCTTTTTCTTCCGTTTTTATACCTATTCTATATCTTATAACCGTGTATATATATATATGACATACATTTTTGTGTGTCGTCAAGTCAATAGTTTTGAATTGATGATGAATGGGAAGGTGTTCAGTAATAACTCAACTTTTAAAATTCATTACTATTTTTTATTGTAAAATATTCCAAGTCCAAAACATTTAACTTATTAAGTTAATTGGCGTGAAAGTGCTTACTACGATCGGACTATAACACATCTCAAAATGGGTCTATTCGGGACCCTCTTATAAACTCCGATCTATTGTGAACTCTTAATCATTCTTTGTTTCATCGCTGTCCAACACAGCATATGGCAAGTGATATGTATTCCCATATATGGAATTGTATTCCCGACAAACCAGATGTGGCTTATGTTTAATCATTGCTCTGCGCCTAACCTTGGATTATTTATTACATATATATCAATACAGTGTGTAAACGCTAACTGAAAACACTCAATAGCTTTGCGTAGAGACTTGAAATTTGAACTATGACTTTTTGTTGATTTTTATGGCATAAAAATGTGTATTTTAACGAGTTTTTATTTTTTTTAATTTAAATAGACACGCGCATACGCAGTACAACTTTTTTTTTCTTAAATGGCAACCACCTATTTTAACCACTAATTATTTTTTGCCTATTTTTTTAAAAAATTTGGTAGTTAAATCAATTTTCTAAGTCCAAAATTGACCCAATTACAGCAATTTAACCAAAAAATTGTAAAATGCACGCGATTTTTAAATTTTTTGACTGTAACTCTGAAAATAATAATTCTAGAATTGTAAAGGCTTGATATTTTCACTCTTATTTATTAAATTGATAATTACACATTATAATTTTATCTACAGCATAATTTTCACTTTCATTTGGGTATGTATTATAACTTAAAGCAAAAAAAAACGTAAATAAGCAGGCATTATTTTAGCAGGTTTATTTCGTGACATTTAATAGATCTATTGAAACTTATCAATAATTAATAATAAGTTTAATTTTTATTCAAGTTACAAGTTTATTTATTTATTGATTTATTTAACGTATAAATTATTCAAATTGTTGTCAAATGTGAACAAAACATGATTCAGCGCGCCACATGAATTCTTTATTGGTTGCAGTAGTTAAGATTATATTCTAAGATTCCTTTCTAAGTTATGAATAAAACTATGGGCAGGATGTTCTCTATCTAAAGTAATTACCAAAAAAAACTTAAAAAAATATCTAAAGCAACATAAAAAAATTAATATGCATACTTGGGAAACAATGAGCATAAGTTTGTGTTGCACTATGTGCATTTTTTTGACACTCCCGATAAATAAATAACATCAACTTTTTCGGAATGATTCATATTAATCACGGAGTAACACACGTGTTTGGACGATGAAAAATATCGAAATAATCAGTTTTTATAAATAAACATTTCATTTGTTGTGAAAGATCTTGATGACGTTAAGGTGTTTGGAATTATATGCGATGAAGCAAGGTGAAATATAAATTATGTTTTATACATGAACTTCTTAATTTATTTTTATTAAATTAGTTTATAGGTGTTACAAACAAGAACAAGTGGCATTATGTGTAAGGTATGTTGAAAATCTAGATGTTGTTGGAGATTTCTCGGTTTTATAGATTGTTCTAAGAATCAAGATGCTAAAAGTTTATATCATTACATATTATGGTACCTGAAAAAGTGTAAACTTGTGTTCTAAACCACAAATAGTTGCTCAGTCATATGACGGTGCAAATGTTATGTCTGGGAAATTTAATAGACTACAAAATAAAATAAAAAATCAATATCCTTACGCTATTTATACCCATTGTATGTCTCATACAAAAGAAAAAGACAAGAGCCACATAATCTTAAACATTTTGATAGTACTGCAACGACAAGTGCTGAACAAAATATTAATAACACCATTGAAATCATTGAAGATTATTTTTAAAAAAATGCTTTCTTTCCTGTATTTGATGCTATCTTAATAAATCTGGAAAAAAGATTTTTTACTGAAAGCCTCCAAATGGCTACAACTGTTGATCAATTTTTTCAATTAAACATTGAGGAAAGTCTTTTCTTTGTAAATAATTTTAAAGTAAATATCGTATCGGTTTCTGAATATTAATTTTTACTTACGTATGCTCTAGTTTTCTAGTTTTATTAAAAGTGAACCTGTATTTTGTAATTATATATATATATATATATATATATATAATATATTTGATGAATGTATCTAAAGATGTATTACAGTCAGAAATAGAAGTGGAAAGAATTGTAAATTGCAGTCTACTGATGAAAATTATATAACTTTAAATTATGTGAAAAAGGTTTTAACAAAACAGACTTTCCCTAATTTATATAAACTATTTCAAGTTGCTTTAACAACTCCTATAAGTTCTTCCACTTGTGAAAGGAGTTTTTCGGTCATGCGTAGAATAAAAACTTGGCTTCGAACTTCTATGCTGCAGGAAACGTTCAACAACACCTCAATATTATATATTGAAAAAAAAATTTGTAAATCTATTAATACTGAAAAAAATAGATATATACAATAAAAATAAAAATAATTTAGTAGCTATTCAATATATTAATTTTTTTATGTTCCTATATTTGGTGCCTCAGTTAGAATCAAGTATGAGTAGCTACTACAGTTAGTAAGTGGAAGCGTAGGAAGCGACTAAAAATATTTGTTTCCGGTAATGAATAAGACAAAAATGTTAAGCCCCCCCCCCCCACAGATGAAATCAAATATCAGCCTATGACTGTACGAATTTCAAACAAATAAATCAATAAAATCATTAGTGTTTATACAATTTGATAGGTATAACGAGTATGATATTTAATTATGTGACCGTTAGATACTTATTAAATTTTAAATCCTGACAAAATTGATATCGAACACGGTTTTTCGAATGCAATATAGGTGCACGCAATATAGAATAATCATTTTGGTTCACACGCGTAACAGTGGTACGCCGGTAGCTGTTCAAGTGTGTGCAGTTGTTCATGAAGTAACCGCACGTGTTCGTCAAACCGGTTGAAATCGCAGAACGCAAAACGTCGGTCTTCAGTATATTCAGTATAATTATAAAAGTGGTAAGAGGTAGTTCACATTCCGAATGCGATTCGTTCGCAGCCAAAAGTTCGTTTCATACAAATCTGAATAATTATTTTTAATTCAAACATGTTTTCGGTATTTAACATTTCAACTATCTTCCACTTGTCGAGAAGAAACTATGAGTTTATTATCGTTTCTTTCAAATATTTTTATATTTTATTATATTTTCATTTGCACAGTTGATAATTTAAGTTTAAAATACGATTTTATTGATTTAAAAACTGAATAAATAATGTAGTATACGCCATTATTACAAATACAAACGGCTCACTGCAACAACAATTAAAGTAGTTATAACAATTTTAAGGTCATTTTTATGAGTTATATATATTTGTTATATAGATCATGGGTTCTCGAAATGTTGATGCCCATGCTTTCGTACTATTGTACGAGTATGAGGTCACGCCCCCCCCTCCACATCACTACAAGATTGAAGTATAATGATTATACTAATCATTAAATAATCAAAATTTCGATCAATTGTACTAGATTCGCTTGTAAAGGAGAAAAACATAATTACAATTTCAAATTTTTAAAATGAAGTCTATTATAATATTAAAACAACTTTTTTTAATATTAAACTTTAAACTTATTACTATTAAATATAAATGAATGAGTCTGTTGGCACTGTTTAGCTTAAATTCATTTGTTTAATGTTTGGGTCTGTATATAAATAAATTATTGAATACGTAAATACTCGATAGTGTCCGATAAAACATAATTAATCGGAAAGAATTATTTCTTGTTTTACAGTTTTTAAAAACATTTATGGGTATCACGCAATTTTGTCACGCCTCCCTAAAGGGACGCTCCTTCCACGTCGAGAAACATTGATCTAAATCATGAACACATTGTGATGGGCAATTGTATGGGTTTTTGTCCTAAAGATTTTTATGATTCACAAGTGAACCTATGCATATATTTTATCGCGAACCATATGTGTGGTTCGTCAGTACCGGTGCGTTTGAAACCAAAACGACAAAACGACTTAACGAGCGAACACTCGGTTTTCCATCCGAATTGAAAAACGTATAATGCACGCAACGATGAATAAGAATGTTTACGCGCAATTTATTTATTTAAAGACGAATCGGAATCCCGACGATAATCACCCTGTAAATAAACCGTGAAAAATAAATAAATAAATAAATACGAAAAGCAATTCCGGTGAGGAATCGCGTTCGCGCGCTTTCCGACGGGTTCGCAAGCGTTTGGCTCGTGCGAACTCGAGAGGAAATTATAGATTAGTGCAAATATTGAATCCGGCCGGAGCCTCCGTTCGGAAAATGGGAAAATGTTTTATCTCGAGTGCCGACGCTCTGCAGCAGCTCGAAGTTTTTTACGCACAGGGACGAGACAATTCGACATGTTTGCTTTTACGGGGACGCCACCCCGCCGTGCACACCAGAGGGACGTGTATACATTTTGTCGACCCTCGAGCGGGTGCGCGCGGACAGAGCTCAAATTGGTTTTCTGCCGTAGACGAACGTCAGCCGCTGCAATTTTTCCATTTTTTTTTTTATTTTTTTTATTCTATTCTTCCACTTCGCTCTCTCTCAAACATAATTCGAACGCGCTCCTCGGAAATGAGAATCCGCATCGCAAACGGAAATCGGTTTTCCGCAGGATGAAAAAAACCAATTCGGTCCGGCCGTATATATATATATATATATATATATATATACATATACATATATATGGTGTGCAAATCATTATTATTATTATATTATATACATGGATTGCACACCCGGTAACGAGCGGTAACGGAGGGAGAAGGGTAAACTAAAAAAATTGCGCTTTATAGCTAGGAATTGTTATATACTCGTAGTATCATTAAATATTCCACTTCCGTAAACTTAAAATTAATTTCCAATATTTCTCATGAAGACAAGATACAATGATAGTGTTAAACGTTTGTACCGGAGATGGACAGTGCACAATTTATACTTTATTTAATATATATTTATATATATTTAATATTTTTAATATATCTTAATATATAATTTAAAATAACTCATAACACATTTAAAAATTAAAATATCTATTTTTAATGCCCTCTTATAGTTAGCACATAAACTACTTGTAACTATTTGTTTTTTCGAACATATTTAAGAGTTCTCAACTATTGAATTTTCATTTTTATGTAATTGCAAGGTAGCCATTTTAAAGAACTAAGAAACTGTTTCGAACATTTTAATGTATCTTAATTTAAAATCCAATAATTAGTTTCATCGTCATAGTTAAGGTAAGTTTTGATAATAATGAACACGTATACCGGTCAAGTATAAAAACCGTTGCAAAAAATTAGTATAAATTAAATAATTGTTATCCCTTGCTGATTCTATTACTGAGTGTATTTACTTTTCACATTTGTGGAGCCTCAGCAATGACGACGTATGAATGCGGGTAAGCTAAGTATAACTTTTGTTGTTGAAAATATCGTATGTATGGTTTATATTAGTCCATTGCAACATCCACTAATGTACCTGATCGCTTTGATTCCCTGTTTACAATGGTAGTGTTCACACGAGCGGTTATCGCGTTTCATACTATGATATAGGTCTTATCCTAACGGGCAGTACGACCCAAAATGGGTAGTGGGAAAAATCAAAAGGTCAGTTAACTTCATGAATATGGGCACCTTACAAAAATATAATTTTCCTTGTAGAATGATTGAATTGCTACTGAGTATTTGAAATTTGTGTAATTTATAAACCCAACCTAGTACCTAATAAGTAATAATTATCGAATTAAATTAAATTTACAATCTGTGCTACTTAATGATTGATTAATCTATAAAATTTAAATTTACATAGTGGTATACGTATAACGGAAATGATCCATATTTTTTTTAATATTTTACCACGCGATGGTCAAAATTCTAAAATATCAATGCGCAATTTATTTGGGGAGGGAGTAAGTAATATAGTTCAAATATATTTCATATAACAAACTTTTCGGTGTGTTTGGGCAATAGGTGAAAATCCTTAGAATTAAGTCCAGCTGTGATAGCCACCGTAAAATAATATTACGTAATGTTCAACATGCACTCACCTCGTCATCAGTATTATACGATGGGCGTAGACGGGCACTTCCTCGCGACCGATCAGGAACACGATGTCGGCCGATTCGTGGTCGTCCGCCAATTTCTGCAGATCCTCGAGCAGTTGCGGCACGCCGGCGAACGTCTTGTCCGAGAAATGCGCGGCCGCCACCCTCGTACCCATGTTTTCGCTAGTACGATATTATTCCCACCAATAACCTGCTAGGTCCGTTTCGACGCCATTCGATCGCGTGTCACGCTCGTGTACTATAATGTTGTATGCACAACTCTGAAAATTGTGTTTCACATGAAAAAATTTAACCCGAAAAACGCATTAGGAATCGAAACGTCTCCGGCGACGTAAGAAATCCATACACCGCAGCGGCACACACTAAGTATTCCCCAGATCATGGCTATAGTCCACCAGGTGTATTTCCAATCAAACCTATTCGTTTTGGTAGGATGAAAAAAAAAAAACCATAGGCAATGTTCCCGGACCGATGTGTTTTTAAGGTGACTCTATATCGACGCGAAAATAAATGGAAAATAAAAAATGCAAAAAAGCCGTATCTCTCGGACTTGACTCGGTGCTCGACGTCGTCGCAACGGTACGCCGTCGTTTACCGTTTAACGCTGCGGTCGGTTTCGTCGAAACGTGGCATCCAACGTAGGTATAGTAATCGCCCGCGGAAACCACTGTCGACGCAGTGGCGTATACATAACATTTTAACGGGAGGGGGATCATTTGCAGACAAATAATTATTTTTATTTTATCATTTTCTTTTTTTTTACGATTCAAACGCCTTCACACTAACGTTAAAACATTTAAAAAAATGCCTAGGGGGTCTGATACCCTTGTACACGCCACTGTACCGGCGACGGTGATTTTTTTTCTTTTTTGTCGTTTCGGCTCGTCGACGTGTTGACATTTGCGAGAACTTTCGGATTTACGACCGATTGTGCGCGAGTGTGTATGGAAGCGCACGGAAAGTGTACGCGTGTACGTCGTTAATGTGGTTTGTAAACGATTCAGAGAACCAATCAAATCCGTACACAAAACACAGAGGGGAAAAAACAGTTCCATTATAAATGTGAAGGCGGCGGCGGCGGCGGTGTGAAAACCAAATATAATATATAATATATGCATTCCTCCCTAGGGAATATATAATAATAATAATAATAATAATAATAATAATAATGATAACGCACTGCTCGTCCCCTAATAAACTTATGAATAAATCGTGGGTAATAATTTAGAGTTTGTGATACACTCGCAGCGCAATAAATACGTTTATTACGTTTGTAAGAAATCAAAATGAACAGTGGAAATCGTTTAAAGTGACACGAAGTTAAGTAACTGACATACCGGATTTAATGGTTCGGAAAACAGAAACACATAAGAAGTTCAATACATTTTTTTAATTTATTAGAAATGCTATGTATTCATTTTTCTCAACCATCCGGCCACAGTACATTTATTCAAAAACAAAAATAATTTGGTTTAATAGTACATGAGCTTACACAGCTAAGTACTACTCGATGGACATGTAATTACAAAAATTACCATTTTAATTATCATAATTAATTATGAATCAATAATAAATGCATTAGAAGAAGAAATAAATTATAATAAAAATAAACATGCTGTTGAAGCTGTTGGTCTTTTAAATGGAATAAAAAAATCACAATTTGTTTTTAATTTATTTACATTTTATGACATTTTATCAATATAAAAAAATATATGGCATTAGGCCAAGCAACTTCAGCAATTAATGGTGTAATACAAACTTTACAAGAAAAAAGGTCTGATAATAATTTTAAACTATAGTGGGATGAAATTACAAATTTTTCAAGAAAATTTGGTATTTGTTTAAATTATGAAGAATTTTCAAAGAAAAAAAAGGAAACCTGTTGAGAATCAATATTTAAAAAAGTCTCTAATGACTTCAAAAATTGGGCTCGTGAAGAAAATGTAACAATTGAAAAATATTGGAAAACTGATTTTTAAAATACAATTATTGATAATATAAATAATAGACTGAAAACTAGGTTTTCCGATGAAAGCCAAAAATTAACAAAATGAAATGATAACTTTTTTATACTTGATTTTAATGGTTCATTAGAATTCATTGAATATTATGGTGATAATTTAAAAATAAAAAATATATATTAAAATCTGAAATGATGATTTTAAATAAATTAAGCTCCCAAATCAAAAATTGGACTGTTCGAGATTTGCTTTCAACAGTTACATTAGAATTGTATCCTAATTTGCATAATTTGTTACAAGTGGCACTATGTATACCTGTGTAAGCTCAACTTCATATGAGCGGTCGTTTTTAGCCATGAGAAGGATTTAAAATTGGTTAAGGGCTACTATGATTCAAAATTTAGTATTTAGTAATTTGGCAAAAATACACATTGAATACTAATTAGTAAAGACGTAATTGATCGAAACAGATTCTTGAAGACTTTGTCAAATGTGGTTCAAGAATAATTCAGTTAACAATTTAACACTTGAAAGTTATTAATGGTTTATTACTCATTTACCATTTACATTTATTTTTGAAATCATTATTTTATTATTATCAAAATTAGAATCTCTTTTTTTAACCTAAAATATTTTTTGCTGTAAATTAAAAAAAAAAAAATACCTAAAATGTATAATATTATTTAATAAAATAGTTAGTTATTTCTTTAATATCAGTTTTATTTTTATTTTACTGTTTATTTTTGTATCTTTGGAACTATTAAAATTTTATATAGGTAATACATCAATAAATTTTAGTTCCACGGTCCATATTTCTGTTGAAATATAAGTAGCTGATTGAACCACTGAACGCTGACTGGTTTTTATTTTTAAAATTTGTTTTTTTTTTTTATAGGTACATATAAGATTATTTCTAAGTAAATAGGATATTATTAAAAATTATTTTCTTTGAGTAATTCAGGCCTTGAGCCCCCCCCCCAATTAAATTTACTAAGCTCCGCCTATGGATTTAACTTAATCTGTGCTTAAGCTTATTTAAGACATAACCACCCTGTATAATATATTTTAATATTTTTATTTATATTGTTTTTATTAATTTTCTATATTGTTTTATTTTTAGTTTTCTTATTACTGACGTTTTTGTATCACAAACCCTTTATTTATTGAACAAGTTTTGCTTTTGAACAGAGAACCAAAGATTAAACTATTCATCAACTTTATAACGTGTTTATAAATGTTTCATGAAATAATTGATAAAACTTGGTACCTATAAATAAATTTTATTATTATTATAAAATCCTTGTAAACATCTGCCACTTGTTTTGAATACATTTTTATCGGTCCATAGGTCATCGCACGTTTTTCTTATGGACGTGATTTTAAGCGACTTCCACTGTACAAACTGTAAATGTTACACATCAAGTGAGACGCACACGCGCGACAGTGGAATCGTCGATGGCGGCGACCAACTACCTGCTAGTCTTCCAGGTTAACTCGTCGCCGACACGTTCACACACGCGCGCGCACACGCACACTCGCGCCCACACGTCCTGCCCATCTTTCATCCTGCAACGATATCGACGTCCAACACGCAATCGAGTACGTCGAACGTTTTCCTGCTGCTCGAACACGTTGCACTTCCGTCGGCCGTTATCGGGCGCGCGCAAAACATAGGCGCACCGAGCCGGGGTAATCGGATGGTACGAAAACCCGGGAAACTTGACCGGCAACGGCCGTACCGAGGTGTCGGAAAAATCTATCCGGAACCGTTCGCGCGACGCTGTTATTATCATGTTTACATTTCGGACCGTGTCCAATAACAATAATAACGATAATTATCGCACAAACCGTAAAACATCGTTGTCGCTTACTCACCGGTTGGAACAGGAACGGGCGGCGGGCGAACTGCGTGGTGCAAAACCGAAGGATATCGTCGTTTTCGTCGCTATGATGAACACATCGTTGTCGAGGAAGCTAAACGGTTTCGTTAGGAACGGTTTTTTTGTTTTTTTTTTTATCGTTCGTGCACAAAGGAGTCACGATATTCGAGCGCGCGCGCGCGCGTGAGGAACGAACTAACAAGTGTGTGCACGACCGGGTCGACCGTCTCCGTTTTACTACCTGCTAGCCGGTGTATCCGAAATAACGTGCATGATACGTATATACGTTTTTGTCGTTTTTTTTCTATCTTTTTTTTTTTTTTTTTTACGTTATACAACCGGTCGCGCTGCAGTGCAGCCATGCGCGTCGGCACCGAACGACCGCTGGATCGCCGCCGCGCTGTCGTGATTTCCCGCGAAAACACCGACTCGTGCGTTCAAATCACCGTTACCGCGGTCGATTAGCAGCATCGGTATTCGTATGACCGTCAGCGCGATCATCTGGACCGAAGTGGTGTGTGTATGTGTGTATGTGTGAGGGGGGGGGGGTAGTCCCTTCCACGTTTCTTGTGATCGTCGTAACGAATCGAAATGTATTTAACAGTCTACGGTAGGATCTATACACCGTTCAACATCCGGTGGGTTTGACTAGAACAAATTCAATATTAACTGACCGTCAACTTGTTTGAACTTTTTGCGGATATTCAGTTTGTTTTTTTTTTTACATTACAGGACTGTAATTTTGACTGGTTCTGTGTTA